TATGTGGTGTGATGTGTTTGTGAGCATATTAACACACACATGTATATACATATATACCAAACCAAAATATTACAGATAGAAGTATAAAGTAAGATGCCTGATAGAATACATACCGGATTAATACAATTTTGTTCTATACCATGTTATTGTTATACACAACATATGCATGTAGCACAGACATAATGGAAATAACACAAACTAGGGTAAGACTATAATGACAGAGCAATATATCACCTCCAAGAATGCTGGACGGACTTCAATTAGCTGGACAAATGCTGCACTAACCTGTTGAACACAGAAAACGAAAAGCAGATGAGAACAAAGACAAATTATGAAAGCAACATTGTAAATCCATTATAGTAGCGTTCTTTGATTGTAAGACTGAGTAGCAAGTAAATTAAATCATAAATAGTAGTTAACTTTGAAGGAAATTTTTTTGATCTGAAATGTGGAACTGCTAATTCAACTTCCATGCAATACCTTAGCTTCAGAATTAACCCAGATAAGATAAATCAATGCTTATGCACTCACCAATTTCCTCACTTCTGAAGACGGGTCATTAGCAAGGATAAACAAACCTTGAAGATACTGATCCATGGATGCATGCAAAGCCTGAAATCAAATAGAACACATAGCTTCTACCACGCCCAATCATCAGAAAAAGGTTGAAAAGGTACCAAGAGATTTGAGATATACTTACAGCTGGCAACAACATAATGTATTGATTTACAGAACCCAAGGAAAGCTTTCTAAGCGATGCATGTGGTGATTGGAAAAACTGTGTAAAGGGAAGGCAGGTTGAGCCAACCAGGCCAAAAAGAAAAAAAAAAAAAAAAAAAAGATTATCAGTAAAAGTTCATATATAATATAAGTTCAGAGAGAAAGGGGGATGGGAGGCAGAAAGTATGAACTTTAAAGTCCTTTGCGACCAAACCTTTCAGTGGTACGGGGTCAAATGCTAGAATATTCATTTATAATGGATAAAAACCAAGAAGTTCTAACACAATACAGCAATCTTATTTTTACCTTAAGTAATCTCGGAAGGAATACGTTGATGGGACGTTCAGGCAATCCAGGTACATCTGAATCAAGCACTTGAGGTATATCCTCACATATCTGTAATACATAACAACATCGATGTCATAAAAATAAATAGGTTCTGATTGTGCCATCAGTATTAAGAGCTACAGTTAGGAGCTACTACAGTTGTTACAATATCTGTTCTTGTTAGATGCTATCAGAAGGTGATACCAAAATAACATAAATGGTCTCTATAAATAACTTCATTGAATTTAATCCGGTAAAGGGTGAAGATAAAAAACAGAGGGTTTGATGCACACAAAAGCTAGAGCACAGAGTCCTTTCAAACCCACTGACAATAAGAAAGGATACTCTCTCATACCGGAAACAATTAGCCCCTTGTAAACTTAGAGCAGGGTCCTATTGAAACCTATTCTCCCAGCGTGAGATGATTCAAGATAATAGAACCTCTTTATAGGGAAAAGATAATAGCATTACAGCACTTAAATTACTGTGTGATGTTTAAGTTAATAGCACTTCTTGCAAGAAAGGCCAATTGAAAAACAAAAAGCTGCACCTGGCAGAATTTTTTTTTCCTCAAACAGAAAGCTACAAATGTGTCAAGATATGCATACAAGCAACTAGCTGGAAAACATTTGCTTATCCTTCACCCAAAATTCTTGATCAATCATGAACCCATAGGCAGAGTTGATCACAGCAGAACAACGAGAAAAGAACACTGATGTATCTCCACACTAAAGGAACTTTGGGGAAATATGCACGGGAAATGAATGTAATCATTGTGTTTACCTTGGATAATGTGTCCATAGCACCTTCCATGTGATTTAGGTCATTAGTGTCTAAACAACTTACAAGAGCTTGCAATAGTTCAGGCCACCCCAAAATTCCCCCTAGCTGAACAACAACGCTTATTATGGTCCCAACTGTACACCTGATGTGTCGGTCTGCTACTCCTAAGCAAGGCAATAATTCCGATTTTATATATTGCTGGTATGCAGGAGCCATGGAAGTATAAGCATTTTTAAGATTATTCTTCAAAAGCAATCCCGCTGCCTGTCGAACCTCCACTGATTTACCCTGTCCATAATTTACCCAAATTTAAAGTTCCATCAGCACATAGAAACTGAAAACTGTCATGCTATGTTAACCAACAACCATAAACATGAACAACACATGTTACCATGCAACAGGATTGTAAACTATCCAACTATTTTATCACAGCAAACAGTTTCTACATAAACAAGGATTTGTGGACAAACATCTGAAGTTTCCAAGGCTTTTCTGGTCTCGCCAGCTTAAAACCACTGTCGAAACCAAGAGAACAGAAACCAAATACAATCAGAATTGCGAAGCAAACATTCTAACCCCTAATGTTCAGCACCCGTAACTTCCATCAGACCCAAAGCCACAATTCCCCCATTATCTCAAAAAACGACTATCGATTTCTAAGTATGCAATCCAATCAGACCCAATATCCATCCAAATCAAATCAAACAAAATTAAAATTGAAAACACACTAACACAAACCCTACTGATTCAAATTGGAAATGAATACACAATTGGGGGGAAGTGGAGGGAGGGGGAGCATACCTCCGCACGTGCAAGAATGAACGCAAGGTAGTTATTGAAATCGGGGAACTGAGAGTAGTGTTGGAGCTGCTGCCAAATCTGAGACTTGTCAGCGGAGGAAGCCGAATGCGAAATCTGCTGCTCCAGCAGCCCGCAGATCGCCGCGAATCCTTCTTCCTTGGGCTGCCATGGGGCGGTCGCCGCCATTGAAATCGAGAGAGAAGGTTTTGGTTTTCTGCAACCTGGAATTTGGAAGCGCACGCAGGCTCTGGGGGTTTTGAGCAGAGAGAAGAAGAAAATGGGATTTTAGGACAGCTTTGGGGGGGTTTTGGTGGGCGGAGGCGTGGCAGAGGACGATGATCTCTGGTCAAGTAATAATACACTAAATTATCATATAATTATTTAATCATTTTCTTTTCAGTTTTGAAAAAAAGTTCTTTTCTACGTCGTTTTTAACTTTTCACTTGGCACACATTCTGTTGTTCTCGTTTCATTTGTTTAATTTAATGATCATAAATATAAATAAATATGTAAAAAGTTAAAAATAATGTGTAAAAATCATCTTTTTATTACTCATCTTGTCCCGATAAAATTTAAATTGAATAGCAAGCCATGATTGCTCACAGCTCAATGCATTTTTTCACTTGTGAACAGGACTAGCCCTAAAGGTAGTTGAAGTAGGCGCCCGCCTATGACCCTCACTTAGGAAGGCCCCAATTTTTTTTAAATACATATATGTATATAATTTTACAATTCAAATTTAATAAAAATATCAAAAAATAAAACCATAGGCAACAATAATTTCCACAAAACAAAATCTTGAGAGAAACTTTACCGAAGTAAATACTTATTTCTAGAGCTAAGAATATGGTGAGCATTCTAATATTGATGGAAAGACTTATTTCTAGAGCTAAGAATCTAGAGAGAAACTTTAACGAAGGAAATAAATCAAGCAATGGAAGTGTTGAAATATCTGAGAAAACTGAATGATTGTTTCTCGAATGCATCAGTTGCTTATAAAATTTTGTTACCCACATCAATTACAGTTTCCTCTATAAAAGAAGTATTTCAAAATTAAAGATCAAATCTTATCTTTGATCAACTATGCAACAAGAAAAATTGAATGGATTAGCTATTTTGCCAATTGAAAACAAATTGGTTGAAAAATTAGGTTATGTAAACTAAATTAGTACATTTATGTGTAAAAACGCGAGACATGTAATTGTTAAGTAATATTTGTATATCTTTCTTCTTTTCATATTAATTTTTAATGATATTTGATGTAGAAATTGAGATTTTCATGTATTTACCGAAACCTTTTTTTTTTATATATATTAATGTACAAAGAGTCGGACGTCAGTAAACTCTAGGACCCCAATTAGACGGGTCTCCTAGGGCCCCCAAATTCTCAAGGCCAACACTGCTTGTGAATTACTCTCAAAGAAAATATACCATCTAATTCTTGAGTCTTCACAAGTGGCTTGTAAGTAACTCAGTTATTTAAGACCATCACTCATGCATTCGAGGTCTCGTGTTTGAATATCCCTCCCATAATTTATCAAAATTTAGTGTAAATTATTTCATCCTTTGTAAAAAAAAATTATCGTGAGTCGTCAAACATCTTCGCTCGAAAAGCTGGTAAGAGGTTCACTTCCATGACAACGTGTTTGAAAGAAATATCTTGAAAGGAGTTATGCTAGCTTGCTTGAGAAACACGATGTCAAATGCTCACTTTTAAGAGCAAAATATTCTATCACAATAGTAGTAATACTAACTTGTGCTCTTCCCGTAAAATTGCAATTCGCGACAATAAGCACAATTAATGATTCCGTAAAAAAACAAGTAAAGAGTTCGTAATTCAACTGATTAAGAGCGTTGACCCCCAGAGCAGTGTTTTTGAGTTCGATTTGTCCTCCCACATATCACTATCGTTTTGGGAAACATATAAGAAAATAGAAAGGTCCAAATCTGTTTCTTTGAGAAGGGTCGGAATTTTCAGAATCACGCTTTTTAAATGATCGTACTTCTCTAATATGACTTTTTGATTTTGCAACAATTATGAATGAATGAAGTTCCAATGTTTTGGTGGAGGTGTTAAACCTAAGGAGAGTTGAATCTACATGGTTACATGCCAAGCACCACCAACTCTCACACACCTGTCCTTCAATCATCAGGAAATAAATGTAATCGTATTAGGCAATGACTTTTCCCACAAAATATAAAACATTCAACTCTGCTTAACGAACAAGGAATATACAGTAGCGGAGGATTGGCAGTGAAAAGTACGATTGCAAATCATTTGGTCTAACGACACTTAATCTTCACGTTATTTGAGGAGGTTCTGAATGCAAATCTCATAGTGTTGAATAGAAACGAAAAACAGTGAAACAAATGGAAACCAAAGTGAACCATGAATTGATACAGTACAAAGTGTACAACGATTTGTGAAATGGCACAACATGAAACCTCAAACTCTGTTGAAGTGAATCGAAAGGCATATCTCCGATAATTAACCCCCCACCCAATTCACAATGGCGACATATAATTCTGTCCTAACCTTGAGGAAGTAGAATGTTAGTATACAAGCACAAACTTCAACGCTAGTCCCGAGCTCTCAGTAACTCATGCGATTTATTACAACAGCAGCACACCAGTTAATACACTTCTCTTGCACAATCTTGAGACTTGAGGACTCCCCACGACTTCCCCGCAAATCCAATAATTATAGTATATTAGCCTGCAGGCATGTAAGAGTTCCCTATTTGTAAGTTTTCACAAATAGATTTTGGTTAAGAGAAATGCAGGCCCAAACAACCGGTTTCAAATGCCTTGAGCAACCTTTGCTCCAATAATAGGGGGAATGATAAGCTTTCCCTTGCCATGTGGTACGTGGATCCGTAGGCAAAAGCATATTGCTCCTATATATATATATATAAGTTTCAAATGCCTTGAGCAACCTTTGCTCCAATCATAGAGGGAAAGATAAGCTTTCCCTTGCCATGTGGTACGTGGATCCGTAGGCAAAAGCATATTGCTCCTATATATATATATGATTAGAAATTGCTTGTCATGCACCTTAAAAAATGTATTTGGAAAGCATAATCTATTTTCAGAAAATAAAGTAACGAAAATAGAAACCGGGCTCGAACTGGAAGATATATGAGTTAATGGAAATTATAGGTGGTTGTTACCATTTGCGAGATCATGAACCTTGTAGTGCTTTTGGGATCATCACACTTCCATGCTTATGAATACTATTTTTGCTTCTGCCCAGCCTACATCAGAGAAACGAGACAAAGACTCAGAACTGATGTAATAGAAAGTGCAGGTCACGATTTAAAAATAATAAATCAAATATAAAACCGCTGTCAGAGAAGTGAGCATCTGCTACTTAATTGTCCTTTTAACACTACAACTACATGCAGTATAATAGCCCGTGAATGATCCAGTTAATTCACATATATTCTGCTTCAAATTGATAAGATGCAAAATTGTATAACAAAAACATCTAATAACAAAAATACAACAGCAGCGACAGTACAATCAAAAGATAAGAGAGGTGACTTTTCTTTTCGAAAAGTAAAGAAAAGAGGTTATATCCAAGCTTTTGGATGCACGGTCTTAATGTCACATTAACATGGCAAGTGACATTTTATCAAGTCTCATCATGATAATAGCAATCTTTAGATTAGGTATAAAGAAAAGTTGACCCGAGTCAAACCTTTTTGAGTTTCTGCAAAACAGAATCTTCGAACGATTGATATCCAGTCCCAACCAAATGGTTAAGTCGATCAGGTTCCTCAGGCCTCTGAACTGGTGGAGCATCAGTCACTGAAACTGGTTTAAGAGGTATAACCAGCAATGGATTAGAAAGATCACCTAACACAGTTCCCGTTGCAGCAACCTACAAATAGTAAACCCATCATAAGTAACTAGCACATTAAGAAAATAAATGTTCAAATTAAAAAGGGCAAATAAAAAAATCGTAGCATTCTCACAGCTGCATCTTTAGTCGCCATCACAACAAGAGCCGAACCTCTCTTCTTCTTGCCCCTGATGACAATATCTTCAACCTCGCCGAACACCGAGAACAAACCTCTCAACCTCTCTGCCGTATAGCCTTCACCAACATTTTCCCACGAAACTTTAAGCATCTTCTCCTCATCCAACCCCATCTTTGCACCACTCACATTTCCGTTGCCAACTCCACCAGTCTCTCTCTTGGGAGCAGAATCAGTTGCCGCCCCTTTCTTTGCATGCTCCTTGCGTATTCTCTCAATCTCTTCTTTAAGCTTCCTAGCGATTCTCTCCTCCTCTGCTCTATCTCTGGCAGCCGCATCCGGAGCAAAGGCAGATCGTTCTCTTGCTTCAAGATCAGAGACCATCCTCTGTCGCTTGGAATCGCGTTCCAAATGGCGGCGCTGCTGGTCTCTCTTAACTCTGAGTAAATCATCAAACAGTTTCCTGGCCTTCTCATCCTTGAGTATCTCATAGGATGACATGAGACTCTGGAAGTTGGCCGGGGCATCAGGATCATCGGGCCTCTTGTCGGGGTGCAACACCAAAGCCTTCGCTCGATATGCCTTTTTAATATCATTCTCTGTAAGCTTGGAGCCTTCCTCGCCGGAAGGTAAACCAAGAACCTTATAGTGATCAACGTCGACATCCATATCTAAACCCTAAAATCACAGTATTCTGTTAGGGTAAGAAAAGACAGCAATCAGTAAATATGTCTGATAATTTATAAAAATAAAAAATAAATTAGAAAAATTTACACCAACGGAATTGGGGTTTTTGCACTAAACCCTAATATATTATATATAAGGAGCTAGAAGAACAGTTTCCAGCAGAAGGCAATTGGATCAAAAATCGAGGTCAAACAAGTAAAATCGAAGGCATGAAAAACCACAGAAAATGAACAGAAAGATTTCAGAAGCAGCAATTTCTTTCAAACACTTAGTTTAGAAGTTTACCTTTACCGAACGCGTTTCGAATTGGAAATCGGAGCGCTCTCCTCCGACCTCTTCCTTCAATGGTTGAAATCCCCAATTTTACTTTCAGCTAGAAAATCCAAACCCTAATTTGCCTTTTTCCTCTCAGTTCAATTGTGCGCGTGTCGAGACTCGTGAGCGCGTAATGAACGTGTAAGTTCTTACTTTTAATCTGAGCCGCCCATCAAGAGTGTATCTGTGTAAGGCGTGACGGAATGAACTTGAGCCATGAATTATGTAATGAACCGGATCGATTTGGGATTTTGATCCGTCCGGTTCTTGGCTTTGCCACTAGAAAGTTGAAAATTGACGGGTTATATGATGTCTTTATTAGAGAGATGCAATATATAATTTTCATCTTTCGGTGGATATGAATAATTTATATTTCTGATTGTCAAGCTTTTTTGCCCAAAAAAAAAAGCTGATATTGCTTTGAACCAGAAAATTTAAGTTTATTAAGGAATTTACAGAAATAGAAATAACATTTTTTTTTAACAATTTGTGAATTTTCTTGTTTGGCTAATCTAAAATAGTATATGCTCACATACAAAGTGTGAAAATTGTCCTTTGGTTGTTAAAATTGAAGTAGAGAGGAAGAGAGTGAGAGAGAACGTGAAAGTAAAGAAAGAGGGAGAGAGCTTTTTTTTTTTTTTTTGGGTGAGAATTCCATACTAATGATACTTGGATGCTCTACACAATTTCACCCCAAAGTGAAAAACCAAACTTAATAAAATAGTCATTCTCGGTTAAGTTTAGTTTAGTCCCATCATTTTTATTTGGTTTGAGTATGTCTCATCATCGCTTCAATTCAAGCCTCAAACTCCATCGTTGTATGCAAATCCATCAACGAATCCATCAATAAATTCAAAGAGAAAACGATTATTGAAAGTGTAGGTGAGGATGTGAGATTATAAAGTTCGTAAGAAGGGTTGAGAATTGAGACATGTTAGATACGAGAAAAGAAAATATTTTATATTCGAAGAATATATTAGAAGATGCAAAATATCTTAAAATATCTTAAATTCCTTAATAAACTTAAATTTTCTGGTTCAAAGCAATATCAGCTTTTTTTTTTGGGCAAAAAAGCTTGACAATCGGAAATATAAATTATTCATATCCACCGAAAGATGAAAATTATATATTGCATCTCTCTAATAAAGACATCATATAACCTGTCAATTTTCAACTTTCTAGTGGCAAAGCCAAGAACCGGACGGATCAAAATCCCAAATCGATCCGGTTCATTACATAATTCATGGCTCAAGTTCATTCCGTCACGCCTTACACAGATACACTCTTGATGGGCGGCTCAGATTAAAAGTAAGAACTTACACGTTCATTACGCACTCACGAGTCACGACACGCGCACAATTGAACTGAGAGGAAAAAGGCAAATTAGGGTTTGGATTTTCTAGCTGAAAGTAAAATTGGGGATTTCAACCATTGAAGGAAGAGGTCGGAGGAGAGCGCTCCGATTTCCAATTCGAAACGCGTTCGGTAAAGGTAAACTTCTAAACTAAGTGTTTGAAAGAAATTGCTGCTTCTGAAATCTTTCTGTTCATTTTCTGTGGTTTTTCATGCCTTCGATTTTACTTGTTTGACCTCGATTTTTGATCCAATTGCCTTCTGCTGGAAACTGTTCTTCTAGCTCCTTATATATAATATATTAGGGTTTAGTGCAAAAACCCCAATTCCGTTGGTGTAAATTTTTCTAATTTATTTTTTATTTTTATGAATTATTAGACATATTTACTGATTGCTGTCTTTTCTTACCCTAACAGAATACTGTTATTTTAGGGTTTAGATATGGATGTCGACGTTGATCACTATTATTTTAGGGTTTAGATATCAGACAAATTTCGTGAGTAACCCAGATCTGGAATTCGCTTGGATTCGATTTGTGTTCACCAATTTATTTGCAATATGTTTGTTAATCTTAATTCGTGTTTTGAGGGTTTCTGGGAAGTATAATATAAATGCTTGTCAATATTGGGATAGTGTTTGATTGTGGTTCTTACTTTGGATATAAAACGTAGTAATGTATGCATTGTGCTGCAGTTATGAGAAGTTGTAGTGGTTGATTATGGATAAAGAGAGTCCGCGGTCTATTTCTTTTCGCACACATCGTAGAGGCGAAAGGAGTAATTTAAACCAACATAGTAAAGGTAAACAAAGCCTACCGTCGCCCCATTGTGAATTGTATCATGTTAGATATTGAGGCTAGATAATGATGTGGGTTTTTGGTGTAGCATTGATTTTCGTATCGATGAAATAGATATTTTGTTTAGCACGAAAAATGTGAATAAGTTGTTTGGTGGTGCAGATGTTGAAGAGGGATTCCCTCTGGGAAGGGTGACACAGGATTATCCCATGAAGATTGTTTGGAAGAAGGGCTTTATTCGATTGGTTCTTGTAGGTGGCATTTTGTGGATGCTACTAATTCTCCTCGCGTCATTATTTCATGTTTGGTCCTGCCAGTCTTCTATCTCTTTCTTCTCAGGTATCGTAATTTTTCTTATGGAACTATGCATGAAGTTCCTTGGGTTCTTTGGTTGAGTTCATGCTTTATAAATACAGAGCCTTATATGTTTTTCGTTGCCGTTTGGCTCAGCCCTGATGCCCCATTTTTGAAGTAGGTTAGTTGATTGGTGCATCTTGTTCCAAAAAATGAAAAGTCCTGTGTTTAAATTTACTGTTTTTGGTATTCATATACATCTTATCGATACTGAACAGTGGATTTTAGGTATTCTTTGCCTACAATAGGTGATAAAACATTTTTATTATAATTTTTTTAATTAAAACTTAATTATGTGAGTCAGGGATAACATATTTTAGTAAGCCTGTAAAGGTCTGGCTTGAAATACACGAACAAATGCTGAAAGTATCATTATTGTTGGTTTAAACTTTCCTGCAGTATGAGGGGTTGTAGTTGTCAACTTGTGAGTATCAAATAGTTCCCAATGTAGTAAGGAAATATTGTCAATATTTATTAGTACAACTTGCAATAGGTGCTAAATACAATTTTATAATATTGTTAGCGCATGCTTGGTAAATAGGGTGTCTGTTATTTAATTTGAGGTAAACAGATACATGTTCTTAGTAGTTTGATCCACTTGAATTGCAGCTATGTGTAACAAAGAGAGCAAGGTCTTCTCCATGTTAGACTCCCTTGGGTTTGTACCAAAAGGACAATCGCAACACCGTAAGAACACTAAAATATATTTTCATTGAATTATCGATAACTTATTTAGTTTTATGTAATAATGTTGTTTTGTTTTCATCTCAAATAGGCTGTCCGATTCCTGTTGTCAGTGATCCTGATAAGATAAAAATTCCAAAAGGAAGAACTCCTGATGAAATTGTCAAAAACTTAACATACGTTTTAGATGATGAGATTTTGCCTGACGGAACTCTGTCATCCCCACTATTCGGAGGACATCAAAATTGGGCTCAGAGAGAGGAGAGTTTTAGACTAAAATCTGACATGAAGGTAAGGGCAAACATCAATACTCTGTTAACTTCAGTCAAAGCATGTTCTTTAATTATTTGTTTTCGTATCAGAAGTAAAGGAGTAATGGGGCCCGACTTCCCTAGCACCTTCTTATAAATAAACTATGGTTTACAACATGTTTAGAGTATGTTAAAATAATTGAAAATAATGGTGGTGGATATGGAGAAAATTGTCCACTTAATGTTGTGTTTCCCTTTCCCATGTATAGAAATGTTCTTTTTCTGTCTGTTTAAGGGGTGTTACTTTTTCCATTCTCCATTGTGAGTTGGTTAATGTTTATATCCTGCAGTTGCACTGTGGTTTTATTCGAAACGGTGGTGCTGAAATGGCTCCTGCAGACATCAACTATGCCAAAAAATGTAGGTTTGTGGTTGCATCAGGCATTTTTGATGGTTATGATGTACCCCATCAACCTTCAAATTTAAGTCCTCGTTCTAAGAAGCTCTTCTGCTTTCTCATGGCGGTCGATGAAACATCTCTTGAATTTATCAAGGGAAATGTGACAGTCAGAGAGGATAATGATGGGGGAAAATGGGTTGGTATCTGGCGTCTTGTTTTGTTGAAGCATCCGCCTTACGATGAGCCAAGAAGGAACGGGAAGGTCCCCAAGATATTAACCCACCGCATGTTCCCTAACACCCAGTACAGCATTTGGATCGATGGTAAAATGGAGCTCATGGTTGATCCATTGCAAATTTTAGAAAGGTAATAAATCGACTTTTATCTTTCTCATTCTACATATTTGTTTGTGCACATATAGCTATAATCGAGGAAACTAAATTTGATGTGCAGATATTTATGGCGTGGGAAGCATACATTTGCCATTTCTCAGCACAAGCACCACCGCAGTATATACGAGGAGGCTGATGCAAACAAGCGGAGGAAGCGATATGCTCGACCTCTTATCGATCTACACATGAAAATTTATCGTTATGAGGGTTTGGAGGCATGGGATCCAACCAAGAAAACCGTTAGTGGTAAGAAGGAACACCGTAGATTTTTTGAGTTGTGTAATTTGTTAGTTCTGTTTATTTGTTTCTCCTCCGCTTCAAGTTACAGGCACATTGCCAACAAAGTTAATGCCTAATATTATCTACATATATATTGGTACAACACTATTTGTTAAAAGTATTGATGGAAACTATTGTATGCAGATGTACCAGAGGGTGCCATTATCGTACGGGAACATACTGCGATGAGTAATTTATTTAGCTGCTTGTGGTTCAATGAGGTCCACCTCTTCACACCAAGAGACCAACTGAGTTTTGGTTATATTGTGTACCGGTTAGGGGGGTTGTTTAAGTTCTTTATGTTTCCGAATTGTGAGTACAATTCCCTGTTTGTGTTGCATCCACACATAAGGGAGCATTCTTCTCGTATAGAGTGGGTAACAAGTTGGAATCAGCTCAAGGGGAATGGATCTATTTCAAATAAGGGTAAAGATTGGGACCAAGCCAGTGCGAAAAATGGTTTGGTAGAGAGTAGGGGAGGCTTAGGCTTGTGGACTCCTTACCCTGCAAATCTTGATTCAGTGGTCCTACCCCCGGTAGCAAGAACATCAAAAGCTGGCTGAGGGGTCAATGGATCCATTTGGTCTTGTGAACTTATTTTTAGGAGCTCTTCCTGG